AGAATTCACATTGCTTGGTTCTACAATCAATGTCAATGGAAGCAGCAGTCAGGACATTAGACAGCGTGTAGCACTGGGCAGGTCAGCCACGAAGGAACTCTTTCAAGTGCTGATTAGCAAGGATGTCTCCTTGAAGACTAGGGTATGCCTGACACAAGCCATGATATTTTCAATTGCCTCGTATGCATGTAAGAGCTGGGCAGTGAATAAGGAAGACTGAAGAAGAGTTGCTTTTTGAGTTGTAGTGCTGGCAAAGAATGCTGAAAGTACCATGGACTGCTAAAAGAACTAACAGATCTGTCCTGGATGAAGTGCAGCTGAAATGCTCCTTAGAAGCTGGAATGGCCAGACTGTCTCACCTACTTTGGTCATGTTGTCAGAAGGGACCATTCCCTGGAGAAGGATGTCATGGTAAGGCGGAGGGTCCACAAAGGAGGGGACGACCTTCAATGAGATGGATTGACACGGTGGCTGCGACAGTGGGCTCAAGTATAGCAAGGACCATGGAGCTGAACGGGATCGGGTGGTGTTTTGTTCTGCTGTGCATGGGGTCGCAATGATTCGGAAACTACTTGACGACACCTAACAACAACGTGCCACTAGAAAATTTAAAATTGTGTCTGTGGTTTATGTGGCATTTCGATTGGACAGTGCTGCTTTAGAGGAACAAACAAGTTTTTGTGGCTGCCCCAAGGAATTCCTCTTCATTTCACTCGGGTTGGTTGTTTTCCTGTTTTACAATATTTTAAAAGTTCATCTGTTTGGGTTTTGGCCTTGTTGTTATGTACCTGCCAGTCGGCCCGACTCATAGTGACCCCTCCTTGGGTTTCCGAGGCAGTATTACTACGGAAGTAGATTGGTCAACCTTCCTTCCAAGGAGTGGCTGGTGGGTTTGAAGCACCAGCCTTCTGGTTAGCAATCAAGTGCCTTAGGCATGATGCTACCAGAGCTCCTCCTAGTAAAATGGCAACTACTTGGAGGCCTTATGGTGGAATTGTTATGTGCCGTCAAGTCGGGCCCGACTCATAGCGGCCCCTCCTTGGGTTTCCGAGGCAATATCACTACAGAAGTAGATTGCCCCATCTTCCTTCCAAGGAGTGGCTGGTGGGTTTCAACCGCCAGCGTTCTGGTTGGCAGTCAAGTGCCTTAGGCACTATGCTACCAGAGCTCCTTTGGAGGCCTTAGTAGTTGCCATTTTACAAGGAAGCAAAATTAAAGTGTACCACCAGAGGGCTCCAGAGCTATGCTAAAATCTTGATTTTTTTTTTTTTTTTGTAAACTCTGGAAGTGTACAGAATCTTAATTGGATTAGATTTAGATAGAGATGGCAATTTTTATAAAATATGCCTATTTTTCTATTATGATAATACAGAGTTTGGTCATCGTAACTGACTTGTTACTTGAATAAGCACTGTGCACAGAATCCTGGGCTTAAGGGAATCTCTGCCTTTAAAGGAAGATGGGATTAATTTATTTTAAAAAAATATGTATTAAGGCAGCACATTTGAGAACATTTTATATCAAACTTAAAATAGAAATTGATGTTTATTTGGCAATAGTTTCTCTCTAAGCAATGTATGTTGTTAAGCTGCTGTATTAAATTGAATAGTATCTGTACAATGGCAGTAATAAGCAACTGTATAAAAAGTATTACTTCTTTTTCTGCATCAATATTCATTACATCTACCATGGGTCAGGTCCTATGCCAAGTTCTAGGCTTACAGGGATGAACAAAGTGAGCTTCTGTCTTCAAGTATCTTGACCTGCACTTTCCCCAGTTCATTGCTATTACTGTAAAATTTTGTAATATATAATCAAGATCATGAAATTTGACCAAAACTATTAGTAGTAAAAATTAGAATGTTGACAGCTATTAGTAGTTTAATTAAATAATAATTATGTGGTGCTTAAAATTTCCAAACACATTATCACCACTGTTTTCTGGTTCAGAAGAACACAGTGGCCATGGGTAGTTTGATATTAGTATTAATATTATTAGTTAAAAATTTATCTATATAAATACTTCAGTTCACATGATATGACTTGCCCAAGATCACATGTCTGAAAGATTTCTGAATCAAAATCCCTTCCCTGGCCACAATATCCAATGTCATCTTTTGGGACCAAGTACAGTAGTGGGTTAATTCAGGGACACAGTTGATGTTGCTATGGTGACAGAAGCTATTGGTGGCCATCTTGTCTCTCACTCATTCTCCTTCCTGCTTTAACATTACTCTTTTTCATGCTTGCCTTCTGAATATTGTTTGCCTCTCCTCAGAGAATGTTCCCCTGAAGGCCATAGAATACAGGTAAATTGAAATCTTTTGGGTAATGCATTATGCTAGAACTTTTGTACTTCCACCATTTGAACAGTGTAAAGGAACTCTGGTGGGACAATGGTTAAATGCTTGCCTACTAACTGAAAGGGTGGCAGTTTGAACCCACCCGGTGGCACTGTGGGAGAAAGAGCTGGTGATCTGCTTCTGTAAAGAATACAGCCTAGAAAACCCTAGGGGACAGTTCTGCTCTGTCACATGGAGTTGATATGAGTCTAAATCAACTTAATGACACTTGAAATATAGGTTTACTGATAAGTTACAGATAAAATTAGTCCATTGTATCATGATGTGACCTTGTAAGTACAATTAAAGAGAGAGAGAGGGAGAGAGAGAGAGAGAGAGGAGAGTTCCCATTTAACTTTATTATAAAGTAAAAGGGGTCACTTACTTTTTTAGTCAAAAAGCAAACAAAATAGGATATATCCAGTGTATCTTTTTATGAATATACAGGCTAAAACATGAAAAATAACTACCATTTTTATATGCCTCTAACTATGAACTGTTCAACATATAGAATGATAGAAAATAATTTAAAAATATCTTCTGTGTTAATTGTTTTCAAACTTTTTTTTAGCAAGTGACATGCCTACTAGCTGTCCCAGTCAGTGGTGGCCATACAGAGGTCACTGTTACAAGATTCACAGAGAGAAGAAAATCCAAAGGGATGCTTTGACTGCATGTAGAAAGGAAGGTGGTGATCTGGCAAGTATCCACAGCATCGAGGAATTTGACTTCATTTTCTCCCAGCTAGGATATGGTAAGACACCTCACAACCATCATATGCTTTACTCCAGCCCTCTCTACCCTCCACCCATCTCTGGAAAATTTAATACTAAATGTTAAATGGAATGTTTTAATAATAATGTTGTTGTTGTTGTTATGTGCCGTCGAGTCAGACCTGACTCATAGCGACTCCTCCTTGGGTTTCTGAGGCAGTATTACTATGGAAGTAGATTGCCCCATCTTCCTTCCGAGGAGTGGCTGGTGGGTTTGAACTGCCAACCTTCTGATTAGCAGTCAAGTGCTTTAGGAGCTACGCTACCAGAGCTCCCAAAATACAAAAAAAGTTGTTAAAAAGAAAGAAAGAAAATGTTGAAATGAGTTGGGAACATTTATCCAGAAGAAAACTAGGCTGAGGAACAACATAATGATAATAGGCACTCAGCAGTACTCGTTGATTAAATGATTATCATTTTCAACTTCCATTGATGAGGCTGGTGAATAGCTGCAGCTGTTCTTAATTTTCACCAAGCAAAACAAGAGGAAATGGACGGCGGTGATGGTGGAGACTGCTTCCTGACACACACTGCCTGAAAATTGATAGCAGCAAGGGTGGAGAGGAAAAACTGATTAACTAATAGATGAGAAAAAAAAAAAAAATAGTAATAGCAGAGAAAGATTTAAAAGACTCCAAAACAGGACTACTCCTAGCAACTGTGCCAAATGGAACCCTTCCTCTTCTGTTTACTTCATTGGATTCAGTAGGCTATAATAGGCTGCTGCAGCTTGTAAACAATTTCTTGATTAAACATAGTTATGTTTACCTATTCTGGAAAATTGAGACTAAAAGGTAATAATGTAATCAAACATATCTGAATATCAGTCCCTGAGAGTTATCATGACTTGTAGATAGCTAATAAGTTTGCAAATGATTCAGTTAGTGAAGATGCTGTAGAGCTGCAGTGTACATTTTGCTCAAATTTATGGGACATAATACAGTAATAGAAGAGCCCCATGTTTTTATTGCTACAATTAGTTTGGGAAGTTGACTGACAAAGGTTGCTTATACATTCAGCTTGAGAATTAGTCACATTTCAATAGGGAGACTTTCTAAGTTTTAAATAAGGATTTATTCAGGTAAAATAACAAAAGGTAAAGAAGAGCTGTAAAATTAAAAATATTGCTTATAAAATAAAAGCCTAGGAAACCTGTTTTAGTTTGGTGCCATAGTTTATTTTATATTAACCATACAAATCATTTTAATTGGATAAATTGGGACCTTTCTATATAAGTGGCATCCTCAGAAGTACAAATGATTAATACGTTCAACTGCTCACCTGAAGACTGGAGGCTCAAGTTCCTCTAGGGGGGTATCTTGGAAGAAAGACCTGGTAATCAGCCATTGCAAACCCTGTGGAACACAGTTCTACCCTGACATACATAGGCTCACCATGAGTCAGAATCAACTTGATGGTAACTGGTTTCCACATAAGTTAGAGTACAACTAGGACAACTTCCATAACCAATTTATAAACCTCAGTCTAACAATCTTACACTCACCTATTATATATATTTTAAAGGATATATATAAAGGATTTGTGCTTAGGAATTATAAAAGCTAGAAGGGAAGAACAATTTAGTAAGAAAAATTTTATCAGATGCTCTTAATAATTATAATTGAGTGACTTAGAAGTTGTTTTTCATTGGTATTAAATCAAAATCCTTGAGTGGCACAAGAGGTCATTTTTAAACTGGTATGTGTTGCCCAAGATCCCAATCTGCCAAACTAGTGAAAGGAAAAGGGGGGCACTTGTGCTGGCAATGCCATTCACACTTCATGGTACTGGAAACATCTGCTGGGGCTGGCACTCAGCCTGCCTGGGACTTCCTCAAAAGCAAAGCTTAGTGACAATTTTAGGAGGAAGAGCCTTAACTACTTAGGGAAATTCCTATATATTGTGATATTTTTCTCATTTTCTACCTCAACAGCTTTACTATCCTTTGGCAAGTACTTTTAAAAAAAAAAATTATATTTTATTGTATTTTAGGTGAAAGTTTACATAAAAAAATTTCCCATTTAACAATTTTTATACAAATTGTTCCATGACATTGGTGATTTTTTTAATGATGTGTCAGCATTTTCATTTTTTCCATTCTGTTTGTTCTGTTTCTCTTTATCTAGCTTCCTTGCCTCTCTTTACTTTCTTGTCTTTGCTTTAGGGTAAATGTTGACCATTTTCTCATATAGTTGATTATTTAAGGGATCATAGTAATCATAGGTGATATTGTTTATTTTACAAGTCAATATGTTACTTGGATAAAAGATAACCTCTGGGAATAATTTCAGTTCCAAGTTCAAAGGCTATCTTTAGGTAATAACATGGAGATTCCTCTAGTCTCTATAGGTCCATTAAGTCTGGCTTTTTTCTGGAACTTGAATTTTGTTCTGTATTTTTCTCTCATTCTATCCTGGACTTTCTATTTTATCCTTGATCAGAACGACCAGTGATAGCCAGGGACCATGTAGTTCTAGTCTCAGAATAGATGAGGCCAAGGTTCATATGAGCTATTAGTTGGCAAGTACTTTTAATTTTACCATTTAAAGAACATAAAACAAGCATCCATGATAGAATTTGCAGTAGTGCAAATTAAATAAATATAGAATTATACATTCTCTAGTTTTTAAATTTGGAAATGTTCATGTGCTTAGTCATAAATTAGCAGGCTTTTAATTACTTCAATCGATCCCATTTTAGTTTTAACATTTAGAATTCTTAGAATTATAGCTACTTATTAATCAATAATGTTCTGTAGAGAATTTCAAAACAAAATGATCACATTTCATATATATATATAT